GAATGAATGATTGGAATGATTACAACAGACAGACGGACATGACTATATCATCATGGCTATACGCTGATCAAGAATATATATACTTTATAGGGTCGGAATGGTTATTTCGATGAGTTACAAACGGAAAAACAAAATTAATATACCTTCCATACTATGGGGGAGGGTATAAAAAATATGTTTGCCGGAGCCTATTTTGGTCCTTATTCTGGCACAATTCCAATATAAAGGGGTACGCACGCCTTTTCGGTAATCTAAAGTGGTTATAACTTGGCATTCGGGATTCCCGCTGAATTATATACTTGTTTTCAGAAAGTTCCAACATAATTCCTGTTCATTATTTTTACATCGCTCTCATAAAATGTACAACTTAATTTGGTTTTTCATTTTCTCAAATAAACAATCTACCAACTGACAATGTAATAGTCACCACATGAAGTACCCGACCATTGGAGATTCAAATTCATCGCGTGAAACATAGCGAAAATTCAATGCGTCAATATGAAATCGAAAAACGGGATTTTTTGGATTGAAACCAAAATTTTGTAAAAAAAAATCCTAAGAAATTAAAAAATGCTAAAAAAGTGCTAGTTGCTAGATCAATTTTTTTGGTGCTAAACGAGTTCAAAAAGTGCTAAATCTAGCACTAAAAGTGCTAAATTGGCAACACTGCAAATATGGTATCCTTTGTATTAGGCGAACGGGAAGAGCTAGAATTCTGAATTTTGGCATGTGGGTAACTGATGGAAAATTAGAAAGATGTACAAAAGGGTTTTTGGAAATTCGATTTTTAAGTGTACGAAAAGTACTAAATTTAGTTCTAATTGTATATATATTGAACATATAGAGCTAGAATCTTGAAATTTTATATGGAATGCAGGTTGCGAAGTGGTGTTTATGTATGGAAATGGTGTACGAATTTCAAAATGAAAAAATTCGCTGTTGCAAACATAAATATACTGTGAAAAAAATCATTACGTCCCTGAGTGAACGGATAAAGCTGGAAAACTTAAATTTGGAATGAAAATGGCATTATTGTATTATTGGAATTTCGTACTTATGGATACGAGAAGCACTAAATATGGTGCAATTCGTTTTGTGTGAGCGGGAATCCTAAAATTTGGAATTAAAATTAAGGTTGAAGTATATGATTGAGACATAGTGGTAGTTTTGAAAATGCGTAATTATGTGTACTAGACGGTGCTAAGTTTAGTACAATTTAAATTTGAGTGACAGGATGGAGATGGAAAACTTATATTTGAAAATAAAATTACTGTTTGAGTACAGGATTGAGACAGAGTTGGTAATTCAAAATACATAAATATGAATAGTACTAAATGGCACTAAATATGGTACAATTTGGATGTATGGGAACGGATAGGGATGGGATCCTGAAATTTATGATTAAAATTACTGTTGCAGTGTGGAATTGAGGAAGTTCTAGAAACTCGTACTTACTTCTACGAAATGTAATAAATGGTACTAAATTTGGTACAATTTGGATGTTGATGAACGGATAGAGCTGGAATCTTTAAATGTGGACTTAAGGGTATAATTGGATTGCATGACTGAGGTAGTTTTGAAAATTCGTACTTATGGTAAATTTGGTACAATTTAGACTTTGGTGAACGGGTAGAACGTGAATCCTGAAAGTTGTAACGTAGATTACAAAATGGTACCAAATCATGTACAATTTAGTGAACAGAGCTGGAATTATTAAATCTGGACTTATGACTACAGGTTTGAAATATTGTACTTATGAGTACAAAGAGTACTAAATGTGGTACAATTTGGACTTTGGTGGAATTAAGATTACTGTTAGAGTGTAGGATTAATGTAGTTTTAGAAATTTTTAATTATGAGTATGAAATGGTACTAAATTTGGAACAATTTGGGTTTGGTTGAATCTTTAGATTTGGAATTTAGATTACAGTTGAAGTGTAGTATTAAGCTATGGAGACAACTTTGGAAACTCGAATTTATGTGTGCGAATACTAAATAGAAAAATAGAAATAAATATAAAATGCATTACAGTCGACTCCGCTTTACTGAAACAGAAAAAAAAACTTGATGTTTGTTTCAGTTATCCGATGTTCTCCAAAAAGCGGAGTTCGGTTAACTGAAAATAATTTCAGTTATCCGAACTTCTCATAAGCGAAACATTTTTCAGTTTTAGAAATTTCAATAATCCATATTTTTCGAATTTTACGAAAATATTATTATTATTGTAAAAAAGTTCATCGATACTTTAACAGCTGACTGTCAAATAATAAGTAGTATATAATATACATACTTAGGAAATAGGTGGGTTTTGAAGATGTGTATTCCTCAATACAAAATCCTATGTCATTATCTTTCATTCTCATGACTTTCAGTAATGCGGAGTGATTTGAAAGGTAATAGCAATGTTTGTCTCAAAAAACAATTTCAGTTATCCGATATTTTCAGTTATGCGAAGTTTCACTTATGCGGAGTAAATTGTGGGCCATTAACCTAAAATAATATTGGTATTGGAAATCTATTTACATATCCTATAATTTTCACTTAAGCGACTTACAGTAAAGCGGCTTACATTTTGATTGGGGTAACGGAGAGAGCTGGAAACCTAAAATTTAGAATGTGGGTCACTGACGGGGAGTTAGAAAGAAGTACCAAAGGGTTTTTGGTACTAAATTTAGTGGTGGTGATGGTATGGGGGTAGTCTTGAAAAGGTGTTAGAAAAGGAACTTGTACGTATTTGCTAAAATATATAATAGGAATTCTGATCAATTTTTAATCTGTGTAATGGAAATAAGTAAGAGATTTCGGAAAATAGTGATTATGTGTATGAAGAGTACTTAATGGTAAAAAACTTGATATTAGATGTAGGAATATAAGTGGATTTCAGAACTATAGTACATCAAATTATACCGTATTCACGATTTCCATAAGAAATATTATTATTTGTTATACCCTTCACCACACTGTGGTACTGGGCATTATGTCTTTGTGCATATGTTTGTAACAGGCAAAAGGAATCGATATAGACCCATGGTTCCTTTTGAGAATATGCATAGAATCACTTTCTGAGTCGATTTACGCATGTCCGTCTGTCCGTCCGTCTATCCGTCCGCCTGTCCGTGTATTTTTGTGAACAAAGTACATGTCGCATTTACGATTTGGATGAAATTTGGCACATGTCACTTATTTTGTCCAAGGACGAACCCTGTTGAAATTGGTAAAAATCGGTTCAGATTTAGATATAGCTCCCATATAGTTTCGTCCGATTTTAGGTAAATGGTGCACCAAACTCCCAATATTTGTCCGATTGAGACAACATTTTGAACAGAGTATTGAATTAGGCCCAGATCGATGTATGCGAGGTTTTGTTAAATTTGGTGCAGATTTAGTTATAGTTTCGTCCGATTTTATGTAAATGGAGCACCATACTGCCAATATTATCCGATTGAGACAAAATTTTGCACAGAGTATTGAATTAGGTCTAAATTGATACATGCCAAGATTTGTTGAAATCGGTCCTGATTTAGATATAGCTCCCATATATAGTATCGTCCGATTTTATGTAAATAAGCACCAAAAAGTAAAATTTAGGCTAATTGGCACAACATTTTGCACAGCGTACTGAATTAGGTCCAAATTTGTTTATGCGATGTTTTGTTGAAATCTGTTCTGATTTAGACCATACGATCGATGTTTGTCCAAATCTTTTGCACAGAGTACTGAATTAGGTCTAGATTGATGCATATCAAGATTTTTATTGGATTTTGTGTCGAGATAAATTTTGGATAGCGCACTGTGTTGCAGCATAGCAAATGGTGGATGCCACGGTTGCTCAAATACGCCCATTTATATGTTGATCTTTTACATATTTTGCTCGTTGGTTGACATTCAATTTTTCATTAATTTCAGATTGGTACCAAAAGTGGTGAAGGGTATCATATAGTCGGTCCCGTCCGACTTTTGAACTTTCCTTACTGGTTTTTTGTATTCCCTTTCCGCATACGAAGTAGCGGGCATTTTGCTAGTCTATTTATATTTTCTTCCGTAGAAGCTCTACATCCACCCTTCTCAAACCGACATCGAAATAAATGTAAAACACTTGATTTTTATTATTATTATAGAATACACCATAGTTAGTATATTTTTGTCCGTAAAATTTATTTCCGATTTGTTGTTGTTGTTTTTTTTTTTTTTTTTTTTGTTTTGCGATAACAAAACTAAGTCTAAAAAATGTATGTGTGTTTTTGTTCTTCTAAAAAATGAAACTTAAAATTAACAGCATTCGTATTTTGTTACAATGGTTGCAGTTGTGATTATGCTTATTATGGTCATATCGATGAGGATGTCTATGGGTATATATGTTTGTATGTGTTAATGCTAATTTGTAATTAATTTACAATCGATCTAAACTACAATTATGATATTTATTATTATTGTATTAAATTAGTTAATGTATATGTATATCTATGTATGTTTTTTTTATTTTTGCATAATAAACATTAGACAAAAAAGTCAACATTATTTTGTGATTTTGTTTAATAACAAACAATTTATCGCATAAAAAGAAAATAAAGTTAAATAAACATCATTCCAATATGATAATAGAATAGTATTTGTGTAAAAATTTCACATATATTAGATAATATAAAGATTAACAGAAACAGATTTGGTAATAATGTAAATGATATAACAATTCTTAAAGTTTAGTATAAGTGTGCTAGTTTTTTGTTTGTTTTGTAAATGGGATATTTATTGTTTGTGTAAAGAGACTAACTACCCAGCAAGGGCACACACAGATAGAGTAGTAACGTGGTCAGAATCAATTCAATAGTAAAATAAATGATAGCTAATCAATTTGCCATAAAATAATGCAATATATGTGTACACAGACGTTGTACCAGGGGGCAAATGTAATGCAAAAGAAATTGAAAAACTGGACGCAACGAAGGAAACAGCAAACACAAATGATGCTGCACTGTCTCCACCAGTGCAGTGAGCAAATGTCAGTTATTCGAATCCACATTCAACTGCAGGTAATAGTTTTGTTGTGAGCCAAATGGTCGACTACAACTACTGCTGTCGTCATCATCATCGTCGTCACTGTCATCGTTGTTGCGTCTGTTATGTTGTTGCTGGCCATCTTCGTCATACGCCCATTGCATTTCTTCGCCAAATTTGTGTAAATGTGCTAGATTTTTGTAGACATGCAATTTTCTATTGTCAATATACGATTCGCAGGGATAACACCAAACGGATAAATCACTAAAGCTCAAAGCCATCGGATGGGATGTTTCAATATTGTGGAACATCATATGTTCCATAACATAACGGCCGCACAACACTTTGTGGCAACTGAGACACATCCAGTTTTCAGCCACCGAGGAACATTCATTGCATGGTTGATTTGTATTTATTGCTATGTGTTGGAGGGCGAGGGAGTAAGAAAGAGACACGATAGAATCACATTAACAATTATTTCTTTTAAATCTATATAAAGGTACAAATTATTATAAAGGTACAATTACAGAGCACAGAAAATAAACAAAATTGCAAATGTAATGATTGCAAAAAAGTATATAAATACCTTTAATTACAGCAATGAAAATATAAAAACAAATATTTTATAACAATAATTAGGTTAAATGGAATTAATGACTATCCCCTTAGCTATATTTGGATATGTAGAACCAAAATCTTCATCTTATTTTTACTCCTGAATGTGATGAAAAGTTTTGAAAATAAATATATGCAAACAATAATAAAATCTGAAGAAACGTTGTTTCCATGGCAGTCGATTCTATGCACCGGATTGACTTGGAGGAAATTTCCGACCAAGAATTGTCAAACTCAAATACTACATATTATGCATATGGACATTTCCGGCAAAAGGTAAACAAAAGCCGAGGTAGTTTTTCTTTAATTGTGCTTAAATACGTGGAATAAATAACGTCAAAAAGTATAATTTTTTTCTTGTTCTTTGCATAAATACGAATTTAAAGGCTATAAATGCAGACACTGCAGAAATAAAAACTGCAAACTTAAAAAAGTCGCGTAAGCTACGTCGCCTGAGTGACCAAGAAAAATCCTTTGCAAATAAAGGATAGGCCAAATTTTGAAAGTGCAATAATAATGCTTGATATCTCTTATTAATGTAAAGTATATTTAAAGTTCAAAATGTTCTCGCAATTCGCAGAGTTTCCCATTATTAGCAATGATTTCTAGAGTCATGTACATTTGAAGTCGCGTGAGTGACCGCTCTTTAGTGGCTTTTATCTCAAAAGATAAAAACCAGAGGCCCTTAAATTCACTGATAGTACTCCCAAAATGGCACAAAAAGTATTGAGGGTGGATAGTAAAACATGTACTTGTGTTTGATTTATTTAACATTTAAAGTTTGATTTTGCCTCCGAAAGTCTTGTAAGTGACTGCGGAAGTGTCCATATATAACTCTAGTAGCTATGAATTAAGTTGGAATATTTGTAATGAACTTTAAACTGGCCACATGAATTATAAATTGGCTTAAATTACAAAGGAATTAAATAAAATATTTTTTTCAAATATGGCACAGGCACCCCGAAAAGTTTACTCTGCGCTGGAATCGTAGGGAACCCAGAATCTTCGTATCGTTTGTAAAAAACGCATCTAATACAACGTCTTAGTCCGAAAATGGGACACCCTTAAAGTCTTCTCATTTTTTTCACTTCTACATAAAACGTATGTAGAGAGAGGTTCCGTTGGAACAAGATTGAACGCCTAAATCATTGAAGTAGACATGAATAGCATTCACATTGAAGCAGTTACCATGTTATGGGCCAATATCATATGAATGCAATTTTTAAAGTCCATCCGCTACCAGGCTTCCTCTGATATTATTTTCTTAACATAAATTTACTTTTGCAACAAAGAAAACCGTTTGTTCTAAAACAATTTCATTAGACTACTTTGAACACGCTGATTACCATGGAAACGGGCGATAAAATCGGGTATATATCGAGCCCTTCCCGCGAAAATGTTGTAAGCGACAAAAACAAAATTTTACAGCAGACGGTTTTTATTGTATAACTTTTTATATATCCAAAATTTTTGAATGAAATTATACATAGTCTTTGTACGGAGTCGTATTTATAACATAAAATAATTAAAAAATTTGTTTTTGCAATATAACGGTAGTTTTTGTCGGTTACATCTTTTTCGCTGTCATAAAACCGAACGATTACTCCTTATAGTGTCGGTTACATTAATTGATTTCAGCATAAAAGTACAAGTTTTTAGGAAATTCATGTGGTTTATTTTATTTTTCTTGAATATTTATAAAATTAATAGGCAAATTTTACATCAAACTTCAGATGAATAAAAATAAAATATTTTTGTATTTCATGAAATAGTTAATTCGACGATTGAAGGTTAATCTTCTTCATCTGTTTCTGGAAGTGTATCCATCGTTGAATTGTTGTTATTTAAATTTATATATTCACCATGGAATTTTGGCGGAATAATGGTCTTATTGCAAAGATCTGTTCAATCGTTGTATTTCATTCTTGGAATCGGAAGTGGGTGTTCATATAGTGATTGGGGACAAGAGCTTGGTGACAAATTCCTTCTTGTATGTCGTCTATTCGTATCAATATTTTTTGTCTCTGAGTTTTCAAAATATCCATACTTTAGGGTAATGATAGGATTATCTTTTTGAAATATTGCACATCTCACCGTTGTATAGGTAATTTACAGGAATTTGGGAATATATTTTCTGAATACTGTTTCCAATTCTTAAAATCAGTATGACTAATCGCAATACATTTGTAACCATTGGGATTTGTTCCTGAATTAGATATTAAGGTATACAATTCACTCTGGGCCCAAACTGTTCTGTTACGAACGAATGATTCAATAGTGCTATGTATTGAATCCACGGGCATCATTGTATGCCCGGGCAATAAATAAGTTATTTTAATATTTGTTACAAAGGTTGATTCCTTAAGAAAATAAAAAATAGTGGCAAGCATACTTCGATTGCCGTTCTGGCCAGCACAACTGTCACAATAGAGGCTTATTGTTGTGTGTGTCTTCCTTTCATCAATAATTTTTAAATACTGAAATATTATAATACATATTTCATTACATCCCCGTTTTCCATCAGTTTCTTCAAAATGTTCACCTTTGATGGATCTGATTTATTATGGGGTGCAGTAGATTTTTTCTTATCTGTCTGTATATTTGTTACATTTGACTGATTTCGAGCTGACACTAAACGAGTTTGGGAAATGTGAAGAGTTTTAAGCAAAAAATGTTGGCAAACTTTAAAATAAATATTTTTGAAGTTTATCATGTAGGTATAACTATACTTTTTTTATTGCTGTCCGATCTTCGTCTACGTATATTATTTCGTGTTACGCAAGAAGCTAACCAATTTGTTTGTCTTGATTTGGAATCCATTCCCCAGTAAAATTCATTTATGTGTTGTCGATCTAACTCTGAAAGTTTTTGGCCGCATTCATTCCCACATATTTTATTTATGCAAGGGTTAGGTTGAACGGAAGTGTCTCTTTTTGATAAGTTTCCAACAATTCGTTTTAATCTATTCACTTTATAACCTCTTTGGCCTATGATCATTTCATCTTCTATTGGGTTGTCACTTTCACTCTCACTATAAGGTACAAGAGCCACTGAAATTTTAAAATATTTCGTTTTTAATAGAATATTCGAGTACTATATTCAAAATCCAACTTACTTTAGAAGAAGGTATTTATTTAAAACCATTCAGAGCGAAATTCCTTGTAAATAACCGAATTATTTCATAATAACTTAATATGTTATTTTAATGTAAGCGACACTTCGCTGTCACCATAAAACGTAAACAAAATAAAAAGTGTACTTACATTAAAATTGTTTTTGCTCTAATATCATAACGGTTCCTAATACAGTTCTAATATTTTGAGATTTGACGTAATGGAGTATTCTTTATCGATTGCTATCAAAAAAGAAAAATCGAAAAAATGTCGCTTACAACATTTTCGAGGGAAGGGCTCGATATGTTCTAACCGATTACTTTTGTAATCACAGTCTTCTCCTCCTTTGGAGGAGCTAGAGTCTTCTCCTCCTTTGGAGGAGCTACTGAGGTTGTCTTCGCACGTGACGTATGAATTCTATCTATTAAGAAGTCACTCGCAATGTCTATTCGAATAGTTCCGAGAGGACTTCCGAAAGAATTTGAGATTCCTTTTAATTAGAATAAATTCCTTGTCAGTGATCAAGTCTCCCGTCCGATAAACCGTTTGCAGAAATTAAATGCTATCCGATAAATCTTCTTATCAAAGATCTCTTTCGAAGTATTCTGGATACTCCACGAATAATATAGTTAATGATATAACTACAGCACGCATAAGGATCTGGGTGCAGTGACTCTGAGATTCCTCTTAATTAGAATAAATTCCTTGTCAGTGCTCTCCGTTCTTGTCAGAGATGTCTCTCGAAGTATTCTGGATACTCCACGATTTGACTTTTTAATATATTTAATGATATAACTACCGCACGCATAATTATCTAGGTGCAGTGACAATATTGTTGGATTGTATGCGTTGACCATTTTGTCTTCAAATCTTAGTTTGAAGAAAATTTTAGATTTTTTTAACGGCGATAAATAATTCTCATATGTTAGATTTATATTTTCGTGTAACAGGAAATTGTCATCTATTAAATCCGAAAATGGCGATAGATTCGTATTCGGCATCAACTATGAATAAATTGTCACAAGGTTATGGCTTATTTTTCTTTTTTTTTTTTGGACAACACCGAATTTAATAAATATTGCAAAATAAAAAAAATATTTTATGAAAGAGAATTGATAAAACTACAATGCGTGAACATGAAATAATGATTTTCTAATGAAACGTAAACGTATATCTTGAATGAACCAAAAACACAAAACCAAATTAAAAAATACTTATATTCTTATTTTTTCGCTTACATTTTGGCGCATCCTCTGGATGCAGCTGTGATAAATGAGGACAATTCTTTAAAGGCACAACAGCAAACATTTCATTATTTTCAAATGCCTATTTGAATGTCGCGCGCATTTGTATTATATTTCCAAGTATTTGGACGTGATGCATTTTAAGAAATGAAACAGACAAATGTTACGTTGTGATTAGACAATCAATTTTGAATTTGGCATAGACGTTAGACGTTAATTACCTGCATGTGCTCTGTGAGAAATTCGGTTAGAGTTTTGACTTTTACCTTCGGTTTACTGCCACTTGCCTCTAAAGATATATTCGATTGGGCGTCGCCGGAACCACCAGCAGCACCCTGTACATCATCCCTTGTAATATCTAAATTTTGTAAAGTAACAGAAAGAAAATCCTCATTGTTGTTCTCGCCCGCCACCTGGGGTAACCGTTTGCCAAAGGCTAAACTTTTCCAATAACGCTCTTGGACACTAATGCAGTTCTGTAGTGTTTCCATGCAGCTCAAGTAGGCAACCGTGGGTGGACGCGCAGTACTGCCGTTTAATTGCACTGAT